TTGTGCTTTTTGTTCTGCTGTTATCTATTATTTCTTCACCTTTTTTTCCCTTTCAATTTCCAGGTATGCTCTTGAAACTTGGATGGAACTGAAACCTGATTGAGCTTTGCATAAAGATCTGTGATCCAGTTGGTTTTAAATGAAAATATCAGTCCATGTTGCGTTAAATTCTACCCTGTTGTCATTTATGTTTAGCTTCTTATGTGCATTTCGTTTTGTTTTAAGGCTTGGATCTGAGTTTGTTTAAATGTAGTTGATTTAAAGCTATTTAGGTCTCTTAATGTGTATTAATTAAAGACTATGGTCTAATTTAATTAGCAACAAGTATCTGACTGTTGGATTGTGTTTAGTCACAGCCATGGCTTGAATGTAAGGCAATCTAGACTTTGTTCTAACAAATTTGGTACAGGTTGTGCTCTCTTTCAATCTTGTTTAAGTTTGTTCTTGTATTGTTTGAGGTCTAGACCCAGGATTGTATGACTTATCATGTAATCCTGTTTCTATTTATGTACTGAGTTATGAGCATTCTAAAGGTACTTTCAAATGAATCTGAGTCCATTTAGATTTGGAAGCCTCCAGATTGGAATCAGTTCGTCATGCTTGGTTTCTCATCTTATTTAGAAAGTTTAGAGTTGGTATAATCTTGCTGAATGGGTTAGTTTGAAATGGATGCTGCATGAATTTGTAATCAGTAAGTTTTGACATTAAATGATGAGCAATTCGTGCAAAATGTTTATCATCACGACTGGAAATTGTATTTTTTCCGCTATAGAATACATGCACTGAGTTCTGAACATTTTGTACATTTGGTTTAAGGATTGTTAGCACTCGTCCAAATCCAGGATTTCCTTGAATGATAGTTAGCTTCAAGTATATTTGTTGAATCATGTTTTGGGCCATCATCATTGGCCTAATTACAATTGCCTTTCATTTCGTAACTAGGCTGCCCAACTGGGCTTCCCTTTTAGCCCAGTTACCTCTCACACATAATTAGTAGTAAGGGGCAACTACACATGGGTTTTGGGACCGGGCCTGGCCACTCTGCGCTTTCCTTTGAAAATCTCCAAATAACATTGGAACTATAGCTAGCCCGGTCCGTCTCGTGTGATTAAAATGTTTGTTTCCGTTACACTTGGGTTTATGATTAGCAAGATGAAAATTGAACCATAATTTAGATTAGACCTTGCTTAGTGCTGGCCCTGGGATTACTAACCTGAGTTCGAGCATTAACTTAGGAGTAATTATAGTCTTTAAGCCTTATTTAGTTAGTTTAGAAATCTTTTGGTTAGAATGAATCGAGATGTGCCGCGCCAAACAAAACTTCAAATGCATGGCCATCGATCAAGTAATATTTTATCTTGAGAATTCGAGGCGTGCCATTTAGTGAATTTTCCATGGCCCTCGTAAAGTTGCGAATGCATAGTTGCTTTAGGCGCGTTATTTTAGTAACTTACTTTCCTAAACTCGGGTGTGCATTTCATGTGACCCAAATCTAAATCTCAACAACGTTAAATAAAATGTGTCTCGGACTGTGGGTGCATTTCATATGGCGTGGTCCAAAGACGTGTTTTAGATGACGTTGAAATCTTCCTTAAAATAATTAAAAACGGTTTTAAAATTAAAATGCACATAGGTTTAAAAGTATTTTAAAGTAAGATAATTAGGCCAACTATAACAGTTGAGCGACCGTGCTAGAACCACGAAATTCGGGAATGCCTAACACCTTCTCCCGGGTTAATGAAATTCCTTACCCGAATTTTAGTTCGCGGACTGTAAAACAGAGTTAATCTTTTCCTCGATTCGAAATTTGAACCGGTGACTTGGGACACCATAAAATTATCCCAAGTGGCGACTCTGAATTTTTAATAAAATAATCCCGTTTCGATTGTCACTTAAAATTGGAAAAAACTCCCTATATACTCCCTTCCGGGGGTGTAGTGAAAAAGGAGGTGTGACAGAGAGAAACGGGAATGATAAGGGAAAAAGGTAGCAGTCACAAGAATTTTTAACAGAAACAGAAATATGAAAAACTGAAGAAGAAGAAGAGTTGCAAAATTATCTCTTGAGCTATTAAGAAGTGTAACATTCAAATGAAAAATTCTCCCCTATTTATAGGGATATTAAATGCCCTGAGTGGAAAAACCAAATGCCGCCATTTAGAAAATGGAAAGGGCACGGGAAATGACGCAATACGTAGAAAACATGCACCATAATGACGCGTGAGAAGTATTAATGACATTCTGAACTAACATGACGGTCTGACGCATACCTCGAAACATCATGTTGCTACATCGCCATGAGGTACTCACCCTTCGCATAAGTGCTCAGATTCCTCACCTTTCAAATCGATAGAGTCCACCCATCGAGCTCGCCAAAAGATGACCCCAATAGGTAGAGAGACTAACTGTATGGGTCGAAATCAGACCAGACAAGAATCCGCATAGAGAAGAGCGGCAAGAAGTCACTTGGGCCGAAGTCGTATCCATACAATGCTATAATGACATGCACCTCGGTCACGGCCGAGGTCGTGTATTCGGAATGCTTATACGATGAATTGGATGTTACGGCGTTTCAGTGGGTTAAGTAGTAATACAGTCAAATGACTTAGGTACTATGGTTAATGACCGTTGGGTAAAGAAGAATACCTAGTATATAAACTAAGTGAGAAGAAGAAGAGAGGGGGCCAAAAACAAATCCAGACACACAGATATGGTTTCTGAGAAGAAAAAGGATCCTCATCTCTCTCTCCTCATGAAGGAGAAGCAAGTAAGGAAGCTCAGATCCTCAATATATCGTTAGTCTCATCATATCAAATGTGTGGAGTTCAACCTTGTTAAAGATCGGTGACCCTTTTTATCTATGTAATCTTCACTTTTCTGATAAGAGCACATTGTAAAGGGTTGACTACAAAGAATATACAAAAGCTTGTCTTGTCCACTGATTACATTGTTTGATATACACTCTTTATTCACAAGATCCAAAAATTTCTTGTCCATCTTCATTTTCTATAACTCCACGTTGTTGTCAGGAAGGGGAATCATCCAAGTCATCTAATATTTAGGTGACAAATCCTTTCTTATTACATTCATTGCCATTATCTACATTTATTGCATGCTTTTATTACTACATTCACTGACAATCATTGAACATTTATAGTTGGTACACATCATTTTTGGATTTAGCTCTACATCATCAATACATCTAAAACGTTAGATCTAGTGGTTATTATATTTAACTAGATTCACTCTCTGTTTTCTTATTAATTCGTTTTAAGCAAAGGTTTAGCACTAAAATACTTGTACCAAACACATGCTCAATATTTGAATGCTATGTGGGTGAAAAGAGAGTGGGGGCTGGGGGCTACCTATGACCTTGTGAGAGTTGTCAATAGGGACCAGCATTTGTGAGGTGACATTATTATTAGTATCACAACTTGGAAATGTTCACCCTTTCCTTTGTTGCCTTCCACGCGAACACCTCTATTTGTTTTCTGCTTTCACGGCCTTGGCCTCTATCAATTGGCATTATTTGAACACCTACGAAAATGACACTCTTTTAACGTATCCATAATAGGGTTTGAAATGTCCAATAACTCAAACAATAATTCATCTAAATAGTCGCTCATCTAGTAGGTAAATATATATAATATATAATAATCTATGTATAATATGTGTTTAATTATATAATGAACATATACCCTATGTATACCCATTGAAAAAATAAACTGTAAATACGATCGACTACTTAAATTCTCTATGTTGGTACGAGGAAAAATTTAGTAACCGAGTTGATTTCTCAACCACTAACTAAAAATAACGGGTAGATCTATAGAATATGTAATAATTTTATATATATATCACATCTATAATTATATATAATTAGTGTATACTTTACCCGTTAAAAGAACAAAACAATGAATACGAACGTCTACTTAATTCACCAACTGAATCCCCTTGACACAATTTAAAATATGGCTTGGTGGTCAAGGAGGTTCAAAACCTTTGTAAGGTCATTGGTTCAATTTCCACTAGCTACAATTTTTTTTAACCTTTTTTTTAAACTCCGTTATCAGAAATTATGTCTCCGCCACGAGTTGTTACTTGTCAATCACTTGACCAAATTGAGATGTATATTTTCCAACGTTAAAATTGGGTTTAGGCAACACAGAACTTTTTACATGAAAGAGTCAACTATCTACTTTCACTTTTAAAATTTCAGATTATCGTAGCTCAAATCATTTTCCACCGTGCTGAGAGGTAGAAATACATTTTTATCCTTCAATATTTCAAACCTAATGTGCGCATTTGATTCTTACATAAATAAATTCTTATAAATCTAATAGATTCTAATACTAAACGATGTGAATATTACGTATCATGGTTGTGAGGATAAAATTAGTCGCACCTGACATTTATACTAAATCAAACAATTTAAATTAAAAAATACATATGATTAACTGATAAATGAGTGTATGAATACACTTGGTTACCATAAACAGAGAGTTGCTTTGGTACTTTTTTTTTCCTTAAAGGTTAACCTTTTTTGTTTCTCTTTATGTTTTTCATTTCCACTTTTTACCATCTTTTCTCTTCTTTGGTCAACTTGATGGACCCAAAAAAAAAAAAGGTTTAAGGGACGAAAAATAAAAATTGTTTTTTACAGCAGTAAGTTTTGACCAAAGTTCCTAGCTTCACCGGTTTGAATGAAATTGACATATAGTGGTCAGCAGGAGGCATTTTGTAGTCATATGGAGGGCGCCATTCATACATCTCTATTATGATATTCCCATTACTTGCACTATATAATAAGAATAAGAATAATAATAATAAACAATGTTGAATCTCACCTGTAACCCCTGCTAAAAGTAACCTTCTTCCAGTTGACCCCCTCCTGCTTCTTTATCATTTCATTTGATTTGACGACTTCTCCTCTAACAGTCTTCAAATTTACAATCACCAGGTAACTACTCCTCAATTCATCTTCTCGGTTTTCATTTTCTTGGCTGTTTTTTGAGCACCCACTATGTTTGTAATATGTTTCTTGAATTTGTTTGCATGAGTGATATTTGTTTATCTTTCTATGAATTGACTTTCTTATTGACTGTTAGCAATCATGAGGAAATTGGTCAAAAATCAAGTGAACCTATTTGGCCATATGATTTGGACAACTGGATTTACTATTATGTTACCCCCAGAAATAGGGTACAAAAACAATTGTTGATGTTTGCACTGCATACTCCAAATCTGTGCAATTGCAATTTTTTCCATATAATTCTGTGTAGATAATTTGTTGACTTTCGTCACATTATTCAGTTTGTTTCATTCTTTCTTGTTTAAGTACATTGAGGCACACTGTCTGGGTTGACGAAACTAGCTTGGTCTTAGGTTGGGTAAATCTCAGGCTATACCAAGAATATGAGAAAGGTAAAGTGGTGCTTTTTTTCTTCTTTAAATAAGAATAATAGAAATAATGATGTGCACTTCAAATACTTCCTCTGCACATACTTGTGCTGGATTGCAATGGAATAGTCAAAGTGCGTACAAGCTGGCCCAGACACCACCATCATTAAAAAAGTACTACCTCCTAGAGTTTCTACTCATGTTTGAGCAAATCTATTTAATGGATGATGACTATTATTTCGTTAATAGCAAATTCCTTGTTGATAGCAGAAATGAAGAAGGCTCTTGAGAGATTCTAAAATGTTGTTTCTGATGTCTTGCAGCCAAAACCATTAATCACTAGGTTTATGTTGTTCCTTAGGCAGTTTTTTACTCTAAGAACTTGGTGGCAATTGGCAATATTTTTGTCGTTTCACTTGCCTGTTGCAGAGTCTAGGAAATATGAACAGGAAAATCGTGTTAGGCATGTAATGCATTTTGCCTTCTCAAAGCTTCTCTAGTTAGAATATGTCATCAGTTGTGACCTTGTATTCTAATATACTAATATCAGAAGATTTGGTTGCAAACTGCTGGGGACTTCCACTTTGAGGTGCTAATGTGCAGGTAGAGGAGCTAGAATCCTATAATGTGCTCATTAGGATGAAGATACAAAATGAGGCTGTGTGTTGCTTTTAACATGACTTTCTAGTTTAAATGCTAAAAACTCAAAATATTCAGATTCTGCTGCTAGTTCAATGGCAGCTTACCTCTAGCATAATGATACAACTCATATAGCCCCTACTTGTATAGAAGATTGGACGTCTTTTGTAGAGAATTATGTTCTGATGTAAATTCTCTACTTTTTGGTATACTTCCTGTATACGGGAGTTCTCTCTCTTTTGATTAATACAATTTACCTTATGAAAAAAACATAATGATACAAATGAAAAGATGTAATAGTAAGGAGTAACACAGACATCATTATTAAAAAAAAAAAAGGAGTATTACATACATGAAATAACTAATCAAAGATGATAATGAGGTCATACAAAGATTGGAACTGGCCACTGCTAGGTGGCTATTCCCTCCCTCTATGACTGCCAAGAACCAGTGAAGGCTGACTAAAATCTCTCATCTACTATATAGTGCCCAATAAATTATCCTGAATATGCAAAGTTGCAAGTAGCTAGTTTCTCAATAGCATTATAAACGGAAAACAGAACCTACTTGTGTTTTCTAAATCTGATTTATGCTTTGTGCAACTCATGGCATTTCTGAAATGGTTAAAAATTCAAGGTTTTCGTATGTTCAGATCTCGCAACCTCACATAGTCACTATAAGTGGAAGGTGTTTGTTTCATATTCACGTCTTGCAAAAGTTCATTACTCTAATAGGGGAAATGATTCTCTTCTCCTTTATCCTTTACAATGAAAGCCTGCCTGAATCAAACAAATTCTCTGGGTCTTTTTTTATTTTGTTTTTCATTTATTGATTTTAGAAAGATCTAAAATACATGCCACTGATAATATTTTGACTATTTTCCTGCTGCATTTATGGGTTTTGTTTTCTGTAGCTCTCAACTTGAGTTGATCTTTTGTGACCCATGGTTATAGCTGTGTTCTTGTTAGAGTTGCACTATACATGCAAAATTTTACTTTATAGTCATTTTCATTACAGTGTGGCGCCAGTAAATTTCCCTGAAACTATGAATACTGGTTCAACAAAGGCTACTTCAAATGGCTTTGAGAATTCTTTGAGACCGGAAGAAGAACAGAACAAGGTATCTCATTTTTTATATTTCTCTCATGGTTTTAAACTGGGCTGCGCTGATTAACAGTTCTTTATTTCTAGCAGATCAATGAGATGAGAAAGTTGATTGGGCCACTTTCAGGTAAATTGGCTCTTTATTGTTCTGATGCATCCATTTCAAGGTATTTAATGGCTCGAAGCTGGAATGTGAAGAAGGCAGCTAGGATGCTTAAAGCGACTCTGAAGTGGAGATCGGAGTACAAGCCTGAAGAAATTCGCTGGGTACTGTTGCAGAACCCTTCTGAAACCTCCCTTTTTTGGGTCTTCCTTTCCTTTTATTATTCTTTTTCTGATATGTGTAGGAGAGAATAATGCCTTTATTAATTAAAATTAATTTCTTATGAGCTTTATCGCTCTTAATTCCTCAATGATTATATTTTCGGCATGATTTGCTTCATAATTAGTGGTGAAATTTTTGGATAGCTTGTTTTGTGCATTGCCTCAGCCTGAATCTGCAACGTTGAAGCATGACAATAGTATCTGTGTTGATCTTGTTGATAATAGTATCCTCTCTATAGTTTCTTGCAATTCTTTTTATTCTTTTCTAAAAGTATTACTTTGATACAGGATGATGTGGCCAGTGAAGCAGAAACAGGCAAAATTTATAGGTCAAACTATACAGACAAGCAGGGTAGGACAGTTCTTGTCATGAGACCTCGATGCCAGGCAGGGTTCAGTTTTGTTTTTTCCTTAACTTGTGATACAATCATATAGCTTATGATTTTTTATCCTATTGATTATTGGAAAAGAATTGCAAGGAAAATGAACTTTCTTAAACCGTTTAAACCTCAGCTTAAGTACGTAGAGTCATTTACTTGTTGATACGTAACTGAGATGGGTGTGTGTAGAGTATTTGATATGGGTGGATGCAGTTTTTCGCTAATTCTTTAATGTATTATGAAGAATTTTCATGTACTCATAGAAGGTCACACCTCTTTGACATGGCTACATCAAGGCAAATAAAGTATCTATGTAATATAGACCTCAAAGCTACAATGACTATATCATTCTTTTGTGTTCTTTATGTTGCCTTTATTTCATGAACTGATTCAAACTGATTATATTTCCTCATCTGTCAGCAACATAAAATTAAATTCAAAAACTGCATTTCGTAAGTTATTACTGATTAATGTTTTTGGACACAAGGAACTAAGAAAAGCTTGATATAAACATTTTGAGTCTCTCCTTGCAGAACACTAAGTCTGTTAAAGGACAAATCAAGTATTTAGTGTATTGCATGGAAAACGCTGTTGTAAATCTCCCAGAAGACCAGGAACAGATGGTCTGGTTGATTGATTTCCATGGATTCAATCTGTCACACATCTCGATCAAGGTGACAAAAGAAACAGCTCATGTTTTGCAAGAACATTATCCTGAAAGGCTGGGGATAGCTATTTTATATGATGCACCCAAGATATTTGAACCATTTTGGAAGGTAATTTGCTCTCAAACTTGTTTAAGTTAGCAGTTAATTTTGTAAATGTTTTGTAACAGGATTCTGTTTTTTTTATTTGTGTACTGCATGAACACTAATTATAATCATTGGCATGACTGTGACCTCCAAGGTTAATATTGTAGCGAAGGAACTACTTGAAAATAAGGGATCAATGGCATTTTTTTTTTGGGCATCTTAAGATGCCAGCAATGTGAGGGAACAGTGTCAAATAAGAGCCGAAGAAGAAAAAATTCATGCATGGGGTAGTCGTGGGAACTGCATCACAGCTGGCATTGTCAATTGATGTTTGCAATTGTTATATGGGCTGTATTGCTTTTTAATATCTCCTCTATCAGTATTGTATTGGCCTAGTCCTTTACTCTGATTCTATGACTTTGCTAGTACTTGGGCTTGCTAAACTCATATCAGATTAGGACTAGCTTTTTTAGCAAAAACTGAGTCGAGCTGTTGTAAAGAGGAGCCTTATCTTTTGCCTTCTGGGGCTTCGAAACATTTTGTCTCTGTATGTCTTGCATCCTTTCCGTAGCAGTAATGACTTCCTTTATAAGAAATTGAGTCAGATTTCTTCAGTTGTATGTAAGATGGCTAATGCATTTTGGTAAGAACCATGGCTTTCCCAAAGGGCAGAAGTCGCTGAAACTCTGAAGGATAGAGTATGCAGCAGAAAGCTCTTAATTCATGTATTACAATGCATGGATTAGAGAAAGAAGAAAAGAGGACAGCATTATCAATCGGATGATCATGTGCTTTTCGTTTTCTGAAATCTGAACAGACATTGGAAAAGAGAGAGCTATAAAACATATATGAGGAAAGAGAAGGCATGCCAGACAATTGAATCAGGCCTCTGAAGGAACAAAAAGCCTCCGAAATTGGGAAAAGATAGAAGGCCTTCTGAATAGGAGAAAGACTGAAGAAACCAAATCTGTTGACAGGTGAATAATAAAAGCGAAAATTAGCAATTTAAGAGTAACTACTTACTCTCCTCTAAAATTTGGTGGGGTTGCATCCTTTGCATGCTGTAATTTAAGCATTCCAAGTTGTTGCATGACTTAAGGTTACTTTTGCTTGATTCCAATTGATTCCCTTTGGACTCCTCCGTTCTCTCAAATATTAAGATGATGCATCCGCCTATTTGCAGCATCTCCAATTGGTAACCAATTCTTTTAATTAATCCGAATGGTGCAGGTCGCAAAGCCTTTTTTGGACCCAAAGACTGCCAGCAAAGTCAACTTTGTGTACTCAGACGACCCCAACAGCAAGAAAATTATGGAAGAACTGTTTGACATGAGGTTGCTGGAATCTGCATTTGGCGGAGATGATAAGGCTGATTTTGATATCAATAAATATGCTGAGAGGATGAGAGAAGATGATAAAAAGTTGTCTTCTTTTTGGAAGAAAGACAATAATTCTGCAGCAAGTGCACAACCAACTGTTGTGACAAGCGAACCCTCTTTAGAACCAACAAATTCAGAATCTGATTCTGATGCCTTAGATGAAAAAGTAGATAAACTTTCTCTTGATGTTGATGAAGAGGAATCACCAATTGAAGAAACTTTGCCTGGGACCGACAGTACAAATGAGAATGCTGACAGATTAAAGCAGTGTAACTGAGGGCTATCTCTGCAACTTTGTAGTTTTTGCTATTTCTTTTATTGATGACTAAATGCTCATAACATGGGCAAATTAACCATTTTGTTAATGGTTCAGAACTGGAGTTATGAGCAGAAAACATTTTAATACAGGTGATGTACTGAATGATATGTTATGAAATGAATGTTCTGCCTCTTTATAGGAGTAATAGTTTTGTTCTGCATATAAAGTATTCAGTGTGGATAACTTAGTAGTAAAAAAGAAGTATGCGACCTTGAGACGTAATACACAAGAAAATAGCTTTAGCCCAAGCCCTTCAGTACTTGAAGAACAAAATAGCTACCTCTATGATCAGACTTGTAACCTCACCAGCTCAAATAGTCCTTACCAGATTAAATATTAAAAGCTAGTAGTTTATTTTCTAGCCATCAAATTGCTTTTATGGAAAGTTCAGTAACTAATCTGCAACCAAATAGGAAGCTAGAAGTTGCTTCAAGTTAGCACCACGTCTAAGGTTAGAGATGAATATACGCCCTCCATTCCTTTTCTGCGCATGGAGTATAAATGATAATGACTTATTTATGGTGATAGATGTCTGATAAGATTACAAGTAAATGTTGGAATATTGATTTGGCAATATGCATAGTTCAATGTTATTAAATTCTTGAAAGTTGTATGAGAATAGAATGACATCAAACATTTTAGAACGACCAAAAAGCTAGTGTCGCATACATTGAGACGGATAGTATGAAATAACATTTCCAAGATATTCGGGAAGGCCAAACCATGACTTTGCAACTAATAATGTGTTAGTACAGTGCATACAGCCCGAGTAATCCCTGGGCGTGTAGGTATGGCAAACGGACAGGTCGGGTCGGGTCGAATATGGGTGGGTAAAAGATGGGTAATACCAAAAATGGATAAATTATCCGATCTGATCCATATTTAATACGGATAAAAAATGGTTTAACCGGCGAATAATATGGATATCCATATTATCCCTGACTTCTTAAATATGATCACTTTTTGGAAGAGTTCCTAGTCTCCCAAACTTTAAGGACCCTCAATTTGATGTTTTACAAATGTAAAAGTTAAACTCATTAGTTATCCATTGATTATCCATTTTCTAAGTGGATAATATGATTCTTATCCATATTTGACATGTTTTTAAAAAGTTCATTATCCAGCCCATTTTTTAATGGATAACATGAGTGGATAACTGTTTCTCTTATCCATTATCCCACCACTACAGAGAACAATTGGTATGTTAAATGGTGCTGGAAGCCCTTCAAACTAGGCTGCACAGAATATTGTGCTTCTATATCATCAATGATCATGAGCTTATCCTGGAAAAAGTCAACTTTTTTTCTAGCTCCCAATTTCCTATAATTTCATTTCACAGTGGCCATTATTTGATGAATTCCAGACAAAAAGAATTGGCATAGTGCAAATGGATCCACACAGCTAGCTGAGAAACAAAAAAAAAAACTATGTATATATGGGCTGTCTGCATAGATGAACAACAACACTGGCAGTTCACTGTCTTATTTCTGTCTGTATCATACTGATCAAACCCACATAATCTACATTACAATTCACAACATAAACACATACAGTACAACATATATGAAAAACTCAAGTTCTTTGACCTATTCGAAGACTACACTAAAGGGGGAAAAACGAAAAAAAAATCCCTCCCATTTGCATGAGAAACATGTCTCCACGAAGCACATGAGATCTACTTCAACTGAAAGCAATTTCCTGCAAAACATGAAACAATTAGCATCAAGAATTATAGCAGGCGTTTCAAAGAAAAGAAGATCAGAAAATCGTCATACCTTGTCACATTACTGAACCATATTATCTAGCTTTTGTCTGTATTGAGCCAAGGTCTGAAATCATGGAAAAGAAAGGAGTACTTCGTCATAAAAAGATCATCAGTTAGCTGTTATCAGCTAAATGCTAAAATGCAGGTTTTGTAAATAAATGTAACGACTACTTGCACTCCTTTTTACTACATTCCTCTGGACCTGCAACAAGAGGAGGTGGGCTTGGGCATTCTACGCCCTACTGAAGAATATCTCAATTAACTATGGAGAGGTGAAAACCTGAGAAATGCTTACTCAGAGAGCTTAAACAAATTTAACTCCCAAGTACAGAAGCAAGCACCCTCAGTTGGCCTTTTTAAAAGGTAGCAACAACCTAATTTTCTGAATCTAATTGTATGAGCACACAGCTTGATACTTGCTTAGCAAATTGTTTTATGTTAAACTTTGTGTTGGAACCCTATTGTTATGCTGAATAAACTCCCTAGCATGCTCTAAGCTATTTTTCTCATCATTCCCTTCAAGCAAATTAACTAGTTGAGCAACAGGTTCCTTCCGGACTGCACTTTAGTTTAACTGTTTGTAACACAAGAACATGGACATATATCCTTCTCAAAAAACAAGAGTGTGGACATACTATGCAAAGAAAATTTGAACAACTTCAAACATAACTTTGAGAAGTTTCATACCTTGGTATAAGCATAGACCCCTGCCTCTGTTGGTGCAGCAGGACTTCCTCTGCGAATAAACTTTCCCTCTTTGAAAATGTAAAGCATGGGGATTCCAGTGGAAAGTTCCAAACTTATGACCTGATAAGAAGAGTTTCAGATCATAATGTTTCTGAGCATAACCAGACAAAAATACGAGAGATTCCTGTAAGTCTGAATTCCACCTCTTGAGATGTTAGCTTGTCGAGATACATAATGATGGACCTCAATGAGTTCCCATGGGCAGCGATCATTATATTTTTTCCACCTGCAAGTTGGGGTTCAATCTGCAAGATTACAGCTACAATGTCATTTCATAACAGCCTAAAACCAGGTTGATAATATCTTGGAATCGATATATGCTTCTGCTTACATGCTCTTTAAAGTAGGCAACAGCTCTGTCAGCACACATTTCCAAACTTTCTCCGTTTGGAGGAGGAATATCATAACTACGACGCCACTCATGAACCTGCTCTTTTCCATATCTATCAGCTGTTTCCTGCTTATTAAGACCTTGTAATTCCCCATACCTACAAAATAGCGAAGTCATATATTAGAACCATCAACTGATATATATATATATATATATAGGAAAAATAACCTTTAAAGGAGAAGATATTTTACATTCTCTCATTTAGTTGCCAAGCTGTTACAACTGGAATGCATTGCTTGTTGGTCTCTTCACTGAAAATCTGACTCCAAGTTCCTGCTTGTTCACTCTCTTCATGAATGATAGTTGGAACCTAAAATTGACATGACAGTGGAAATGATATATTATTTTAGTTATCTGGGCTGAGCCTCAAACACTTGACAGCGGATGGAAAAAACCAAACTAGAAGGAGCCTACTGCAATCCGGAAGCATGTATAGCCAATGCAATAGGCCTCTAATCAACCACATAATTCTCCAATAATATCCTCTATTGTGATACAGTCTCCCTCAAACATGTCATAAGGAAAATCCAAATATTACAAGCTTTAACCACAGAGTTACCTTCTTCCGACGGTGCTGGGTCATGGCAAGCATCGCAGTCATTTGGGCACGAATCAAAGAAGAAGTATAGATCATGTCAACAGGTATATTGCTAATTCTTTTCCCAGCTTCAACGGCCTCCTCCACACCCTTTTTGGTTAAAGGCACGTCTACACAACCAGTGAACAAGTTTTTTTCATTCCACATAGACTCGCCGTGCCTAATCAGGATTAGAGCAGCTTCACCTGAAGGGGCAAATGGGAAGGTGGTAATTAGATGCAGTGCTGCGGTAGTAGCACAAAATATTCACAAAATTTATCCCATGAAATCATTTCTGGAAGGGCGAAAAGTATTTCTTTAATGTGATAAATGTCAAAAATGATCATAGAAACTTTCATCTTATGATGAACATATGATTATTTTGTAAAAAATAGTTCAAGAGATGGACCGCCATACTTGTTTTTTTCTTGGAGTCACTGCTGTTGGCACTTGATGGTGCTGAAACTGCATCAGAAACTGTAGCCTGAGAAGCAGAGGCTTGAATTACACAATTACCTCTCTTTTTAGAACAATAACTTCCTCCTCTCACCAATCCAACATCAACCTTGAAACCCTTGGACACCGATCTTAATGAAACATGCCCATAATCGGGACACAATACAGAGTTACCATTACTTCGACAAGACTGAAGAGTCCCAACTGCTTGGTGAATTGTTGTTGCAGCCATTCTGATATCAGCGAAACCATAATTGTCAATGAAAAGTTCATGCAATAGAGAATTTCTTCGACCAATCAAAAGCAGCAGCATTTCAACTAGTCAAGGTGGATTAAGAGAGTATTACACAGTTACACAGGGTAAACAGAAAAACAGAGGAACTAAGACTGAGAGTAGTGGTAAAAAATTAATGAGCATTTTATAGGTCATACCCATCATTACTTACGAGGAAGAGGTCCAAGTTAACCCAAAAAAAAAACTGCACTCCTTATCAGGGACTATTTCTACATTGTTTTCACCATCAAGATGAAAATGAATGTACCATACACACAAACAATAATCATTTCCCTTTCTCTTGTTTCTAAGTATTCGAATTCAAATTAAATTATCAAATAAACTCTCTCCTTATTGCTTCCTTTTCACTGTTCTTGAGCCGAAGATCTATCAGAAATAGCCTCTCCAACTTCATAAGGTAGAGGTAAGGTTTGTGTACACATTACCCTGCCCAGACCCCACTTGTGGGATTCCACTGGGTTTGTTGATGTTGTATATATACTCTCACCATTCCATTTTATGTGGCACTATTTCGTTATTACTCCGTTTGAAATCTTATGGCACATTTAGGATCACGAGTTCCAAAAATCTCTTTTGCTTACACAGTGAATCAAAGGAGGATCTAACAGAGGGAAAGAAAACATAGAAAGAAAAAGCATAGAGCACAAACTCATAACTTCAATAACTAAGCGTTACCAATAAAATTAGCAATCAAAATAGATCTAATTCAAGATTAGGAACTACCTACTGACTAATGAGATGTGACATGGCTAAAATAAAGTGGGTGCCTCATAATCAATCATTTATGCGTTATTTCCAAAGACAAAAGTAGAAAACACATCATAAAATCCCAACATCAACCCTTGTACATAGAACATATCGAAAACATGGAACGCACCAAAAAAAGAAAGAAAATGAACAGAACTCACATAAACAAGAAAAACAAAATCCAGTTAAGAACACAGAGATCAAAACCAGAAAATGCAGAATACAGAGAATAAAAAAGAGATCTTACGCTTATTTATAAGGCCAAACGATGCGAGGACGGGCTTGTGAAGATACCTAAGTAATAAACGATGCTAACAAAAATTAAAACTTGTTTTCCCACTTTTTCTTTTCTTCCTTATGGTTCGATTAAATGGGCAAAATAGAAAAAGGGTGGTTTTTTTTTCTCTAACAAAAAAAGGGGTGTTGAGTTTATACCAAGAAAAGTTGGCGGAGAAGAAGATGGAAAAAGATATCATGCATTAAAAGATGCCATAAAAATGCTGTTTTTTTGGGCCCAGAAGCTGACTGACAAATCAAGATACGATGATGCAGATGGTGCTTAGGAGGGGGTGGGGGCTAATATGCTTAGAAGAAATCGTATTCTTGAAAAAGAAACAAAGAATTTCCCCCCAGAAAGCCGAGTCTGTGCAGTTGGCAATTGGGTGTTATTGTTATTTGTTAAGGAGAAGGAAGAGTATAGGACAATATAATATATAGTGTGTGTGTCTCTATGTGTTTTGGTAGGTATGGCTCTGTGTGTGACGTCCATTTCCAATTTCTATTTTCCTCTGTTCTCATTTTGACCATCTTTACTCTTTTTCCATTTTCCAAACTAGCTGTTTTCCTCCCTCCTTTTTTATTTTTATTTTTCTAGGTCCTTTTTTTTTTTATTTTTTCACTTTCAAAAATATGAATAACGTTTTTATAGTGTCTTATGATGTTCTCAATTTTCATAATTACAATAATAACATGCCCATTAAACTCCCACAAGTGGGGCTGTGAAGGTAAGATGTACGCATTTTTACCTCTACACTGGAAGAGAGGAGAGATTGTTTCCGATAAACATCGGCTAAAGCAAGGTAAAAAGAAGTAATGACAACAGGTAATAATAACAACATGGTAAAAGAAAACCGAAGCAAAAGTAACAACTAAATGGTAGGTAAGAATATTCATCTAAGAGTAAGAGATTTCAACTAGAACTACTACTGAACATAGGAAGATGTGGAGATCGAGTATTAGGGTTGTAGGTTAGGAGGTAGTTGAGTATTTCCTTACTTCGTACTATTGTGAGACCAGTCTGGTAGAGTTTTTGTCTAAGATAGCTAGTGACACTGTTGTGTCTTGCTATTTCACTTTTCAGTGCAGGACCTATTTACTAGCTATCCCTTTTGCTTTGCTTCTTTCTTCTGAATTTAATGTTGTTCCTATTTTTCCTATGATTTCTGTGGTGATACTAATATTGTCTCCTTTTGTCTCTTTGTTTTCTTGAGCCGATGGTCTTTCGGAAACAACCTCTCTACTCCTTTGGGGTAGGGTAAGGTCTGCGTACACACTACCCTCTCCAAACCCCGTTAGTGGAATTTATTGGGTGGTTGTTGTTGTTGTTGTTGCTCCTCTACCTACTAATATTCTACCCTAATCCTCGACCTACACACCCTTCTATCAAGGGTCATGTCTTCAGTAAGCTTCAGTTGCGCCATGTCCCGGCTAATCACCCCTCTTCAAGACTTCTTAGGCCTACCTCTATCCTTCCTTATACCTACCAAGGCTAACCTCTCACACATCCTAACTGGGGCTTCTATGCTTCTGCTCTTAACCTGCCCGAACCATGTCAACCTCGCCTCTTACATCTTATCTTCCAAAGGGGCCACTCTCATCTTATCCTGAATAACTTCATTCCTAATCTTATCTAAACTAGTACGCTCACACATCCATCTCAACATCCTCATTTCAGCTACTTTCAGCTTCAGGACATGAGAGTTCTTAACCAACCAACACTCTGTCACAAACAACATAGTCGGTCTAACTACTACTTTGTAGAACTTACTTTAAGTTTCAGTGTCACATTCTTATCACACAATACACCGGAAGTGAGCCTCCATTTCATCCACCATGCTCCAATGTGGTGTGTGACATCCTCATCAAACCTAATCACCTTATTTTATTGACCAAAGGTACTTGAAACTTTCTCTCCTGGGGATCCATGTCCGCTTCCTGGGTAGCATCGCTAAACTTGCACTCCAAGTACTCCGTCCTGTAGTCTGTTTGGCCAAGCTTTTAGAAGAAGAAAAAAAGTATTTTTGAGGAGGAGTAGGAGAAGCAGAAGCAGTTTTGGAGAAGTAGAAAAAAATAGCTTCTCACTGAAAATACTTTTTTGAAAAGCACTTATATGAAAAATACACTTAGAAGCAGTTTTTAAAAGCTTGGCCAAACACTAATTGCTGCTCAGAAATGCTTTTCAAATTAATTATCCAAACACAAACTGTTCCTCACCAAAAGCACTTTTGAAAAAAGCACTTCACAAAATAAGCTTATTTTTGCAGCTTGGCCGAACACGCTATTGGCCATGCTCAACTTAAAACCTTTAGACTCTAGAGTGTGTCTTTACACTTCTAGCCTCTCGGTAACACCGCCTCGCGTCTCGTCAATCAAAACTATATCATTTGCAAATAACATACATCATGGCACTTCCCGTTGTATGATATCGCCAAGGAAAATAAAAACGGCCTAAGGACTGATCTCTGTGTAAGCACGTAATTTTTGACCCGCGCAACTTTTAAAAGTAGTATTTTTAAAAATATTTACTTATTTTTATTTTAATAAGATTTAGCTTATTTTTCACTTTTAGTCTAATAGTAGAACATAAAATTCGAAAATACAAAAATATTTTTTAATTTTATCTTTTATCTTTCTATTTAAGTTAAGGCCATTAGTCTTTTGTAGTAATATTAATCTAAGTTTGCTATCATTCTAATTAACTTTTCTCTGCTTTCATTTTAATATATAATTTTTGAAAAATGATGGTTTCATATCAATATAAATTTTATGTTATTTAAAATCAATTACTAGTATTCTAGTAGTATTTTGCTATTGATTTTTAGTCTTTGAGCGCAATTTGAAAGCCCAACAAGACCTAGCCCATTACCCCTTCTTCTTTAACCCTTCCCAAACCTTTTTTCTTGAACCTTGGAAGACAAAACCCTAGAGAGACTAAAGGGCCAGCCGTCCCTTCTTCTTCTTGGACATGGAACAAAACCTAAGATACCCCTAAGCAGCTAGGAGGGACGTTGTCAACAAAACAATGCCCCTGATTTCACATCATCTTCATTCAGACATTCCCTTCACCCCAAAAAATCACAGCCGCACACCTTTCACACCCCTACTACCGACGACCACAAAGCCTCCTCCCTCGCCGAAACAAGCCACTAATCTTCAGAACCACAACCCTTCTACTTCTTCACGCCTCAATTCCTAACTAACACCCCCTAGCCGTTTGGATTTTCTTCCTCTCAACCAAAAACAAAGAAAAAACCTAGGACTTAAGAGAAGAAGAAGACAATCGTCACCCATCAGCAGATCAACCACTCTCACACACACTATCAAACACCTTGCTCTACCTCATTTTCCGGCGACGATCCATTTTCCGGTGATTTCCGGCTGTAGGGAACTGAAACATCCCCGTTACCTTTTCCTTTTGGATTAGTCAGCTTTGCAAAATCAAGAATCCCGGATATGACTACTTGTTCAAACTTTTGTTAATAGGAGATTCGGGTGTTGGAAAGTCTTGTCTTCTCCTGATATTTGCTCCATAAAACTAGGAAAGTGTGCATATTGATTTGTGTGGTGGTGTATATAGCAGCAGACCGAAGTAGCTCCATGTTGCTCTTAATATACTTTAAGGTTGAAGAGTTGAGTTTCGAATTCGCCGTCACTAGCTACTGATCGTCAGGTTTGCGGCTCCGTCGAGGTTGTCGCGTCTAAGGTTTCTGGTCCCTATTTGAAAAGAAATCGAGGTGCCATTCTAAGATTTGGTTTATCGTTCATCTCTGAGTTATGTTGTTGATGTACGAAGAGGTTCTTACTTAATCAAAATTTGGATAAAACTTTGCTACAGAGAAGGTCCAATTCTTTTCCCTTTCTTTTTGCAATTTTGTTTTACCAAAATTGTCGTTTATTGAATGACCTTATGAAGTGTTCTTGATTGGTATTATCATTTGCGTGTTAGTGCAGTCCTAGTAGAGTAGTTGCTATTTTGGAATTACGGTTTTTTTAATTTAGAACATGGAAAATGAATTGGTTTTGAGTTGTAGGGTTTAGTTCTTAAAATTAGGAATTAAAACATACATTATCTTGAAATAAGAATGGGTTTGGGCTTTAGACATAATTAAATGCACTTAAGTATTGCTATATTTGTTCTTATTTTAGTTCTATCTTGAATTTGATCGATAGTAGCATGCTTAGGACGACCACACTTGGGTAGGCAAGCCTTAGGATTTTTTGTTAGTTTTGAGGCGAGAGGTCGTTCCCTTAGTTAAATTTATCCGGGGAATGTCCCAAAGGATTTGTATATATTTTATTCCTGGGAATGCCTCGTAGTATTCTATAATTGGAGGTTGTGGCGAACATCGTAGAAGAAGTAGCGTAGGATAATTTAGAACTTTAATTTTCTTTCATTTAGGTGGGGACGACCTCGAGCCTCTTTTGATTGTTTATTTTCTTTTTGTGTGTTATTACCTCAATTCGAATATTTTAAAAGCCGACTAGATCAAGTATGCAACCGTACTAGTTACGGGACTTGAGGAGTGCCTAACACCTTCTCCCCGAGTCAAATGAACCCACTTACCCGAAACTCTAGTGCAGACTTACTTTTGGAGTTCAAAGTGTTTTTAAAGGAAAAATCATTTTTAAAGAAAACGGTGACCTGGCACACTGAAACCAATGTCGGGTGGCGACTCTGAGTTATTTCCTTTTGAACACAATTTTTGTCACGTTCTAATTGGAAAACCCTTTTCAAGCTTTACAAATCTTTTTATTTATTTAAGAGGGTTTGTGAAGTTTGTAGAAAAAAAGGGTGTGACATCTCTGGCGACTCTGCTGGGGAGTTACAGGTTCGAGCTAGTACTTGATCTTGTTGGCTTTTTAGGATATTTGGTTGAGGTTTTTATGTGTTTTGTTTGCTTTATTTGATTTTTATTTTGCTCATGTCGTTTTATTTGCTAGTTGCTTATTTGTTTGCTATATTTCCTTTATGTGTTAATGCTTTATAAACTGTCATTATTTGTATAACCATGGGTCTTCTTTCTGCAACAAGTCTCGGAGTACGCGTTGCGTGCACGAACTCTTTGTTGAGTCACCCTTAATTTAGGAGGGGGGCCATCAGACGTATGGAGTGGGTGGAAAGCTTGAGCTACCACCATCGACCATATGCTCCCCCGAATTTCCTTGTTAGTGAACCCCAAACTTAGGTCAGCCTTTAGGTCATTCTTATTTGCATCATGTCATCTGGACCTAGTAGGGCTCGGTCCCAGGTACCGTGTCTCTTTGTAGGAAGCCTATCCAAATTTTGTCAAAATGGGTCCGTGGCCCAAAAAGACATTAAATCATCCCTATGTGATACATGTTGCACCTTTGAGGGTAAAAAGGTCATTTGGCAGACCGATATTTGGGAAAGAAGGGTGAAAAATGAAG